ATTCTCTAGGAATTATTTAAACAAAGAATGCACAAAACCTTCACAGAATAAGTTCTAACTCTATAAAAAGACAGAAAAGAATACATGGAGAGATATAACAAGTCCAGTGAATAAGTGGCTTAGCGTTGTATCAATTCTCCCCAAAGTAATCTATAAATGCATCTTGAAAAAAGAAAAAAACAGCAAAACATTAGGAAGGGTGATCTGATGAACTGCATAACTTCTGTGGAAAAATAAAGATTCATTAAAGGTTAAGGCAGTTTTGGAGGGGGAAAAAAAAGCAAAAAGGGGAGACATGCACTAATAAAACCTCCAACAGAACGTCCCTTAACCATCTTCCAATTAACTGACACCCCTTAGAAGACTTCCCAGATTGGTTGATATTCTCCAATTTATCTGATGTCACAGCACTCAGAATGCCTGCATTAGGGTGGCTATGCATTTCTGCTCATACTTACAGAGTTCTATACTTACCAAAAGTCACTTATGTGGACACATTTGTTATATCAGTAATACAATAAGTCACCGGGGTTAAGAATATCCGACTGATGGACAGCTTGTACTTAAGAATGGACTGCCATAAAGCCTAGTGTATTAAAAATGAGTTAAATACAATGATTCGGAATAACGAAAGCACGCACTACTTTGTGACGCTCATGAAAACACCGTGTGGCTTCCGCAGTTTGAGCTTTCTCAAGTTTCAGCCTGAGGAAGAATACTGCTGTCCTCCTTTTTAAGTCAGATCAAGTTGTCGTGAACACTGTGTTGAGTATGTAAGATTGTATTTGGCTTAAATTTTCCTCTTATTTACCCTTGTAACCATGCCTCCAAAGCATAAATCTGATGCAAGTGCTAGTGATACATCAAAGAAAAGGAAAACAATCACGACTGAAAATAACGTGGCAATAATAAAGTGATCGGAAAGAGGTGAAAAGCCATCAGTCATTGGAAAAGCATCAGGCTACAGTCAGTCAACGATAGGAACGATTTTAAAAGATTAAGTTAGAATAACGAAGCACGTGAATGGCTCTGCGCTGATGAAAGCTACAATTATTACTAGGCAATGCAGTGGTTTAATTACGAAAATGGAAAGGCTATTAATAATTTGGTTAGATCATCAAAATCAGTATAAGATGCCCATTATCCTTATTTTAGTGCAAGGAAAGGCTCGAAGCCTTTTCAATGATTTAAAAGCTGCATGCGCACCCAGTGAAGGTGATTGTGATGAAGAATTTGTTATGAGTAGGGGTTGGTTCAATCGTTTCAAAGTGAGGACAAATTTACATAATATTAAAGTGCAAAGTGAAGCAGCAAGTGCCAATGTAAGTGCTACAAGTGATTTTCCTGAAATGTTGAAAAAAATCATTGAGGAAGGAGGTTATTTGCCGGATCAAATATTTAATGTAGATGAGACTGACTTATTTTGGGAAAAAAATGCCTAAAAGGATCTATATTTTGAAAGAGGAAGAAGTGCACCAGGGCATAAGGCACTGAAGGATAAAAAAGGAACCCACTGTCATCAAGTCGATTCCAACTCCTACCAACACTATAGGACAGAGCAGAACTGTCCCATAAGGTTTTCAAGGAGTGGCTGGTGGATTCAAACTTCCAGCCTTTTCGTAGCAGCCAAGCTCTTAATCACTGCACCACCAGTGCTCGGCTTAACGTTACTGCTTGGGGGTAAAGCATCCAGGAATTTCAAGCTCAAGACTTTGCTTATGCATTGCTCCCTAAATCTGAGGGCACTATCATTAAGGCATTTCTTCTTATTATTTGGAAGGGAAATGCAAAGGCTTGGGTTACAAATGCCATCTTTTAAGATTGGTTCTTGAACTATTTTGTCCCTGCTGTTGAACATTATTGTTTGCTCAAGAAAATTCCTTTCAAGATTCTCCTTGTGCTTGACAACACACCTGGACATCCAGGCACTTCAGATGACCTTTACCCCAATGTAAAGGTCATATTTTTACTTTCTAACACCACATCACTGCTTCAGCCAATAGATAGGGAGTCATAGCCTCCTTTAAGGCCTATTATTTATGGTAGACCTTCTCATAAGCAGTCAGGGCTATCCAAGATGATGTAATGAGCTTAAGGGAGTTCTGGAGGAATTACAACATCTATGATGTCATAAAAAAATACTGCTGATTCTTGGGATGAAATGAAGCAGTAAAATATGAAAGAAGTGTGGCACAAACTGTGCCCCCAATTTGCACATGGTTTTCAGAGGTTTACAGCTGACAACATCTCGGAAGCCAGGCAAGCTGTGGTTGATACTGCTAATCAGCTGCAGTTAGACATCAGTGTAAGCGATGTCTAGAGTTACTCGACTCCCAAGCCGAAGAACTAACCAATGAAGACGTTACGGAACTAGGGTAGCATTTGAGGAAGAAGACTGGGACCTAAAAACTCCAGAACCGAAAAAGTTTTGATAAAAGGGTTATCTGAAGCCTTTCATCTCATTGAAGCAGGATGGCAAAGTTAGTGAAGCAAGATCCTAATACAGAGAGGTTCACCTTACTGTACAGGTACTAAGGGTCTCAGCTTCTCCAAGGCCATTTATGATGAGAAAAAGAAAAGCTCTGTACAAACTTCCCTTGATGTCTACTTCAAGAAATTAACTCCAGTAGTAAACACCCCCTCTCCAGCAGCAGAATCAAACCCTGACTCTCCAGTACCAAGTCCATTCTCTCCAACATCAGGCTCATCATCTTCAACAGTAGTCATCTCTCCATCATCTCCTCCTAAATCATCCAATTATTAACGTTATCATAATGTTACCTCACAAATGCCCCTTCCGGTACGCACGACATCGACAGAACCAGAGTGTTAACCTTTAATCACGATCTTTTTCTTCCTATCTAAACTGTTTTAAGAATTGTTTGATTTTTTTAATAGTACTGTATACTTACATTCTTTCTCTTCAGTACAGTACCATATGTAGTTATTTTATTACTGTATGATTACATACAGTATTATTATGTTTAAGATGTTTTACTGTATTTGGAAGTGCTTCTTAAGTATTTTATACGCATAGAAAGGTAAAATATATACTATACACTACGACAAACATTTGACTAACTGATGTTAAATAAGAATCATATGTACCTGTTCTGACTTACCTACAAATTCGACTTAAAGACAGACTTAGGAATGGATCTCGTTCGTAACCCAGGGAATGCCTGTACTCATATTTATGTAATTTAATTAACTTTTATATGAATTGGAAAAATAAGAGTGCCAAAGAAAAATACATTGTTTCCATTAAATGTAGGTTAAATGCTTAGAAAAAATGTGATAACAGTGACTCATTAAAAAATTAATGGAAGATTAAAAAAATACAGAAAGATTTTGCACTCAGACTGCTTTGGAAGTGCCTTTAAGTCCTTGTTCCAAGTCAAAACTGGGCTGACGTTTATCCAAGAGGATGCAGAACTCCAATCAGTACACTCATCTTAAGAAAAATTCAAAAGACTGCTGAAAAAAACTTGTTTTTGTAATGATATTTGTGTATTATTTCTTAATGATTCCTCATTTTAAGGGACTTTTTCAATTCAACCAATGAATTATTTGTCTTAATCACATCATATAATAGGAATATTACTGTAGCACAAAGCCATATCATTTAAAAATAAGACCATGCTGGAGGACAAGGAAAACGAAGCACAGAGGGCATAATTGGACCCATGTTATGAAAACTTAGTTTATGATGGAAATATCATTATAGATCATGATTAAAAAAATGGTATCAGGTCAAATAAAGTTGGTTCCCCATATCATTCATAAAAATAAACTGTATGAATTAAAGGCTAAGATGTGAAAAGCAAAACTATAAAGCTAATAAGATAAAATGCAGACCCCTAGCAGGCAGTGAGTTTATGTTAACGGGAGAGGAAAAACTTAGAAAAGGAGGGTGAGAATGGTTACCTAACTCAAAGAATGTAATCAATGTCAGTTAACTGTACATGTAGAAATGGTTGAATTGCTCATGTTTTGCTGTGTATATTCTCAACAACAAAATTAAAAAAGATAAAATGTAGGAGATGACTTTTTAGCCGATAGTGAAGTATTTTTTAAGCAAGACTCAAAAAGGGAAAACTAAATGAATTTAACTGCATCAATATTAAAAATTTCTATTCAATGAGGAAGAGTTAATAGGTAAAAATTGGGAAAATATATTTAAAATATCAATATCCACAGGATTAATATCTTAAATATACAAGGACCATCTAGTAAATATTTTTCTCTTCTTAAATTTTCTTAGTATGTATGGAAATTATAACATTTGCTGGTTAAATTTTCCATTTATATAGAAATTTATAATTTATAAAAACTACAACATAAAGAAGAAATGTAAAGGGACTGATATACTAGAATGGTTTTGACATCACAAGTGGTAAAATAATTCTAAGTGACCGTGAGAAATTCAGAATGCATTTATTTTAATCCCAATAGCAACAAGAGCAGTATTAAATATTACAATATGACACTAATATTACATAAGTCCAGTTTATCTATTTTTTAATCTTAGGAACATGCTTTTGGTGTCATATCTAAGAGCTCTTCAATTAACTCTAAATCCTATTTTTCTCTCCTAAATATTCTATCATTTTACATTTAGATCTATGAATCATTTTGAGTTCATTTTTACATTTGGGAAATTAAGGTCCAGTTTCATTGTTTTAGCTACTGATATCCAATTATTACAGCCCATTTGTTGAAAAGACTATCCTTCCTCTTTTCAATTTGTTCTTCACCTTTGTCAAAAAACATTTCAACATATTTACGTAGGTCCATTTCTGGGTTCTCTATTATGCCTCATTAATGTGCGTGTTTATCCCTCCGCCAATACCGCACTTTCTTAACTACTACAGTTATATCGCTTTAACATCAAGGAGTGTGATTTCCTCCAATTTTATTCTTCTTTTTCAATATTGTTTTAGCTTCTCTAAAAACAATTTAATAATTTTTTTTCTTTACAGAAAACCTTGATTTCTAACCTTTTATACTGGTGTTTAGATTCCTCTTCACGTTCTCACTTATCTCTTTTACTACGGCAACATCAGAAGGCACGTAAATCAATTCCCACACATCTGGATTTTCGAGGAAAGAAGGCAGAGTACTGATGGATTGAGAAGTGTAATTGTAAGGTCCAGAACCCTTTAATTTAAAAACTGCACGGGATATCAAAAGCATCATTCCAAACAGCAACACTAGGGAAATTTCCAATACTAAATTAACAAACTGCCTCCTCTAGAAGAGAGAGAGAGAAAAAAAAAAGATAGTGTTAATTAATTTAAGAGCATACATTCAATGCATTTGGATAGTTCTATTATATTAAGCTTCTGCCAATTTCACCTTGGCACAGACAGTGCTTCCTGGACTGTCTCCCCCACTCCTACTCCACATCCCACTTTCTTACAGCTCATACTATACTGCTGATTCACTCAACAGCTATGGTATTTATTTCTCAAAAGTACAAAACAAATAAGTAAACAAAACGAGGATAAACTGAAATGCAATGAATGGGCATTTCCCATAAATGCCTTCACCTACCTTTAAGGTAACATTTTTCCAGAGAAGCACTGCAAATTGGTTGAATGCCAACGAATCCATTCTTCTACAAAGAGTCAACTCTAGGGGAGATGAAACATTTTTTAATGTTAAGTTACCTAACAAAATATGGACTTTAATAAAAAAAATAATTACTTCTTTCTCCTACTTTTCTCCTTAGTCAATCTTAGAAACTGATAGCAAGGAAGATTGTATGTTTGAAATAAAGGAAATATTTGAGAATTTGATTGTTCCTATTTTTCTATTAATTTACTTAATAGCTAATGAATTTCTAGTATGCATAAAACACCAGAAAATAGAGAAACAAATATCAGTCAGACTTGGTTCCATTTTTCCAGGTAAAGATGTCATAAAGAAAATAGGCTCTGTTTTTGGTTTATTGTTGTAGTTTAAGTGAAAGTTTACATTTCAAGTTAGCCTTTTATACAAAAATTTATACATACATTGTTATGTGACCCTAATTGCTCTCCCCATACCGTGAGAGCACACTCTTCCTTTCTACCCCTGATTCCCCATGTCCATTCAACCAGCTCCTGACCCTCTCTGCCTTCCCATCTCACCTCCGGACAGAAGCTGCCCATTTAGTGTCTTGTATCTACTTGAGCTAAGAGGCACACTCCTCACGAGCATCACTCCATGTCCCACAGTCCAGTCCAATCCGTCTGAAGAGTTGGCCTCCGAAATTGTTTTAGTTCTGGGCTGACAGAGAATCCGGGGGCCATGCTTTCCGGGGTTCCTCCAGTCTCAGACCATTAAGTCTGGTCTTTTTACTAGAATTTGAGTTCTGCACCCTACCTTTCTCCTGCTCCATCAGAGACTCTCTGTTGTGTTCCCTGTCAGGCCAGTCACTGGTGGTAGCCGGGCACCATCTAGTTCTTCTGGTCTCAGGCTGATGAAGTCTCTGGTTTATGTGGCCCTTTCTGTCTCTTGGGCTAATACTTTCCTTGTGTCTTTGGTGTTCTTCATTCTCCTTTACTCCGGGTAGTTGGGACCAATTGATGCATCTTAGATGCCTGCTTGCAAGCTTTTAAGACCCCAGATGCCACTCAACAAAGTAGGATGCAGAACATTTTCTTAATAATCTTTGTTATGCCAATTGACCTAGGTGTCCCCTGAAAGCATAGTCCCCAGACCCCCACCCCTATTACTCTGTCCCTCAAACTGTTTGATTGTATTCAGGAAACTTCTTAGCTTTGGTTTAGTCCAGTTGTGCTGACTTCCCCTGTAGCGTGTTCTGTCCTTTCCTTCACCTAAGATAATTCTTGTCTACTATCTAGTTAGTCAATAACCCTCTCCCTTCCTCCCCACCCTCGTAACCATCAAAGAATATTTTCTTCTGCGTTTAGACCTTTTCTTGAATTCTTATAATAGTGGTCTTATACAATATTTGTCCTTCTGTGACTGACTAAATTCACTCAGCATAATGCCCTCCAGATTCCTCCATGTTATAAGATGTTTCACAGCTTAATCGTTGTTCTTTATCATTGCACAGTATTCTATTGTGTGGATATACCATAATTTGTTTATTCATCCGTTGATGGGCACCAAGGTTGTTTCCATCTTTTTGTTTTTGTGAACAGTGATGCAATGAACATGGGTGTGCATATATCTATTCGTGTGACAGCTCTTATTTCTCTAGGATATATTCCAAAGAGTGGGATTGCTGGATCATATGGTATTTCTATTTCTAGCCTTTTAAGGAAGCGAATAAGCTCTGATTTTTCCTATAAGTTTCCACTAAGATACTTATTAAGATGTTAAACGTAATAAATAAAACACCACCATAAAAACAAATTATGAAAAATCACTGTAAAATAAGATTATCAATCAATATTTTCTGATATGCTCAGAGGAGCTACCTCATTTACAGTGCTGATGCGAAAATATTCATGAATTACTACAATAATATTTATTGCACATCTAATATACAAGCATAAAATATTTGAGCAGAGATGTCATAGGCTGCATACTACAAGGAAACCAAATTTACAGAATTACTTCACCCAAGTCACCGAACAAAAAAGCCAACGACCAAACAAAAAACCAACAGTAAAACATGCCCATATCCTCCTCCTACTCCTGACTCTCCTTCTTTCCCTATTGTTCCAGGCACAGAGACCAACTGTTGTGCCTTGGATGGCTGCTTGCAAGCCTTCCTATTCACGTCTATTCATCTCTATTTGCCTGAACAACAGAGGAAGAAGGAGAGTCAGGAATAGGAGGAAGAAATGCAACGTGTGGCTAACTGTCTCCATGAATAACTGCCTCCTTTGCCATGAGACCAGAACTGGATGGCGGTCGGCTACCATTAATGAACATTTTGATCAAAGATTCCATAGAAGAATCCTGATCAAAAGGGGGAAAATGAGGAACAGAATTTAAAATTTTCATGGACTCCAGACTTTCTGAAGCCATGAAAGTTGGCTAAATCCCTGAAACTACTGCCCTGAGATAATCCTTAAATCTTAAACCAAAAATATCCCCTGAAGTCTTCTTAAAACCAAACAACAGTTTAGCTTAACTAGTAAAAAATATCTGCCTTGAGTATTATGCTCTTTTAAGAACAACGTATATGGGATCAAAGTGACAAGAGCAACTCGAAAGATTAGACAGGAATCTTAGAGAGCAGTGAATTTATGTTAATGGGGAAACAACTCACAAAAGGAGGGTGAGTGGTTACACAATTCTAAGAATGTAATCAATGTCAGCAAATGGTACTCTTAGAAATTGTTGAATTGGTATGTGTTTTGCTATGTATATTCTCAACAACAACAAAATAAATAAAATTTTATAATTAAAATTCCCAACTCAACTGAGTGGATAAGTATCCAGAGTTATTAAAACATATCATCAAAAGTGTCCAATTATTAACAAAAAAATTATGAGACATGTAAAGACATGAAATTGTAATCCATATAAAAGGAAAAAAAAGGGCAAAACAAACTGCCTTTGATGAAGCCCAGATGCTGAATTTAGCAGAGAACGACTTTAAAACAACTATTACACTGTTTATATGCAGAAAATATGGAACTAAAAGGAACTACAGGTGACTTTAGAACTAAACTAAAGGAGAATGTATAGGATTAAAGGAAACCACGTACAAATGTATACAAGGTTACATGTATTAAGTGTAAGCTGTGTGTTAACGGGCAGTATGATAAGAATGACTCACCAAATAATGAATATTAATAAAGAGATATAAATTATGAAGAAAAACCAAATGAAAATTCTGGAGTTTAAAATTACAATAACCAAAATTAAAAACTCTCAGAGGCTCAAGAGTAGATGTGAGTTGGCAGAAGAAAATTAGTGATTTTGAAGAAAGATCAATAGAGATTATGCAATGTGAAGAACAGAAAGAAAAAAAGAATAAGAAACACCAACAGACTAAAAAACTACCAGACATCATTAAGTGTTACAACAAAATAAGGATACCAGAGTGAATGGGAGAAAAAAAGGGGCAGTAAAATCATTCGAAGAAATAATTGAAAACTCCCCAAACTGGGAAAATGCAGAACATAATTTCAAATTCTCATGGACTCCAGACCCCAGACTTTATGGCCATGGAGTCTGGATGGACCCTGGAAACTACTGTCCTGAGATAATCTATACACCTTAAACAAAAAATATTCCCTGAAGTCTTCTTAAAACCAAACAATAGTTTAGCTTAACTAGAAAGAATGTCTGCCTTGAGCACTGTGCTCTTTCAAGATCTATCTATATGGGATCAAACTGACAACAACAACTTGAAAGACTGGATAGGAAACTTAGGGGCCAGTAAGTTTATGTTAATGCAGGTGGAACAACTCAGAAAAGGAGGGTGAGAATGGCTGCACAACTTGAAGAATGTAATCAATGTCACTGAATTGTACATGTGGAAACTGTTGAACTTAAGTATGTTTTTGTGTATATTCTCAACAGCAACAACAAAATAAATAATTAAAAAACTCCTCAAACTGGATGTTAAATGTTAACACATCTAAAATTAATGAACTCCATGCAGGCTAAACGCAAAGAGATCCATACCAAACACATCATAGTTATATATCAAAAATAAAGAATAAAAGGTCAAAAATAAAGAAGAATCTTTAAAAAAAATTTTTTTTTATTGTACTTTAGATAAAGGTTTACAGAACAACTAGTTTCTCATTAACCAGTTAGTACATATATTGTTTTATGACAATGGTTAACAACCCCACTACATGTCAATACTCTCCCTTCTCCACCTTGGGTTCCCTATTACCAACTTTCCTGTCCCCTCTTGCCTACTAGTCCTTGTCCCTGGGCTGCTGTGCCCCATTAGTTTCATTTTGTTTTATGGGGCTGTCTAATCTTTGGCTGAAGGGTGAACCCCCGGGAGTGACTTCATTACTGAGCTAAAAGGGTGTCCAAGGGCCATACTCTCGGGGTTTCTCCAGTCTCTGTCAGGCCAGTAAGTCTGATCTTTTTTTGTGAGTTAGAATTTTGTTCTACATTTTTCTACAGCACCGTCTGGGACCCTCTGTTGTGATCCCAGTCAGAGCAGTGAGTGGTGGTAGCCAGGCGCCATCTAGTTGTACTGGACTCAGTCTTGTGGAGGCCCTGGTAACTGTGGTCCATTAGTCCTTTGGACTAATCTTTCCCTTTGTATCTTGTTTCCTTCATTCTCTCTTGCTCCCAAAGGGGTGAGACCAGTGGAGTATCTTAGATGGCTGCTCACAGGCCTTTAAGACCCCAGACGCTACTCACCAAGGTAGAATGTAGAACATTTTCTTTATGAACTATGTTATGCCAATTGAGCTAGATGTTCCCTGAGACCATGGTCCTGACAGCCATCCGCCCAGCGATTCGGTCCCTCAGGGAGTTTGGATGTATCTATGGAGAGTCCATGACCTTTCCTTGTACAAGTTGTGCTGGCTTCCTCAGTACTGTGCACTGTCTTATCTTTCACCGAAGTTACCACTTATCTATTGTCTATTTAGTATTTCCCCCTCCCACACCTCCCATCCCTCGTAACCATCAAAGACTGTTTCTTTTTGTGTGTAAACCTTTTAGAGTTTTTACAGTAC